TTCAAATTGGTTAATACCACATGTTGGATTGGAGAGTAATATTTGCATTCTGGACTCTCAATCGCATCCTCTTCGCAGGCTCTACGATACCTCAGACAGATTGCACAAGAGGTTTCACAGACTAATGTCACTAACTGGGGAAGACGACCAGCAGCTCTACGCGCATTAAGCCAGAGGTTGAATAGGTTTGGAAATCCTCTTTTTGATGGATGCTCTTTCGGGTGTTCTAAAGTTTTTTAATTAATTAAAATCAATTATTTTGGCAGAGGCTTCAATGAGGCTCTCAATGGTTTGACTGATGAGGGTTGGTCAATGCTCGGTAGTGATGGAATGGATGATATTACCCTCCTTGTGAACTCTTCTCCTGACAAATTGATGGGCTTAAACCTTTCTTTTACGAATGGATTTTCATCTTTGAGCAATGCAGTTATGTGTGCAAAAGCGTCGATGCTTCTACAGGTCTGTTCACTTCACTCAATACTTTGAAGCCTATAAAATTTGATTGCAGGTTTCCTGTTCGTGCAAGTGGATAAATAAAGGTTTCTTGTTTGTATTGTCCAGAATGTGCCTCCTGCTATACTTCTGAGGTTTCTGCGGGAGCATCGATCTGAATGGGCAGACAACAATATTGATGCTTACTCTGCTGCAGCCATCAAAGTTGGTCCCTGCTGCCTTCCTGGGGCTCGAGTTGGTAACTTTGGGGGTCAAGTGATACTTCCACTGGCGCATACTGTTGAGCATGAAGAGGCAAGCTTAGTAGATTTATAAAATCTTACATTGTTGTGCATGCCTAAAACTGTTCCAGTCTTTCTTAGTTGGAGATTTTCTTGTGATTTCTTGTCTTAGTTTCTGATGATGTGCTCCTTTTTTGCTTAGTAGTTGCTGGAGGTCATTAAGTTGGAAGGAGTTGGCCATTCTCCTGAGGATGCTATAATGCCGAGAGATATGTTTCTGTTGCAAGTAAGTTTTATTTATGCCCATGTATATTTAGTCCTTGTGCTGTCCATATTTTCAACCTTTCTGGTGCAGTATAAATTGAAATCTAATTTTATAAAAAATTATCATATTTGAAGACCATGTTTCTGTATCTTGCATCTACTTTAATTGCAGAATATGAGAATGTCTTTCCTTGAATTGAAAGTTTTTTCTGATGTGTGGAACATTGCATTACATCAACAAGCAAAGGCAAAAAAGAAACTTTTAGTGTGGAAAAGATAGAATTTTAAGTATATTATGTAGTATGGAAAAAACACAACTTTAATCAATACGCGTGCTGCTTAACATATTTGTTTTGGAGCGTCCTAGTTATTTCGCAGGCTTTGAAAAGTTATCTAGAACCATGATTAATCCATTTTGGATAATAGATCTCCTATCTTGTTTGGCAAAAGTCATTATGCATGATCATCTAATGTTTCACTTTCTTGCATTGTGTCCGATGATTCCCTAACACTTGTATTAGCATATCATGACTATTTAACTGGACTCATATTGGTCAATTCTGAGATAGAAAGCTGATTAGCTCTTAACATGGTTTATAACCACTCTTTTGATTTCCCTGCCCTCTTCCTAAAATAGGAATCTGGAAACAGATACTGTGGAATTTGTTTCCTATAAGACTTGGGTGTTTCACTGTTTCTGAGCAGGCTGCAATCTTTTTCCTGTGTCACTGATACTTGTGGTAATAGTCACTTTACATGCTTTTTGACAGCTATGCAGTGGAATGGATGAAAATGCTGTTGGAACCTCTGCCGAACTCATATTTGCTCCTATTGATGCCTCGTTTGCTGATGATGCACCATTGCTCCCGTCTGGGTTTCGCATTATTTCTCTTGAATCTGGAAAGGTTAGCATTTGTATTCTCCCATTAGCACTTTTTCTGTTAGAGGTTTCTTATCGTCCATGTTTTTGCTAATATGGAACTTTGTGCAGGAATCCTCCAGTCCGAACCGTACCCTTGATCTTACTTCTGCTCTTGAGACTGGCCCAGCTGAAAACAAAGTGGGCAATGACCTTCACACAAATGGTGGCACATCAAGATCTGTCATGACAATTGCTTTTCAATTTGCATTTGAAAGCCACATGCAAGAGAATGTTGCTTCAATGGCTCGACAGTATGTTCGAAGCATTATTTCATCTGTTCAGAGGGTTGCATTAGCACTTTCACCGTCTCACTTGGGTTCCCATGGAGGTCTTCGTCTGCCACTGGGGACTCCTGAAGCACATACATTAGCTCGTTGGATCTGCCAAAGTTACAGGTTTGTTGTATATACTTGCATGTGTGCCTAAAACAGGAACACTCTTTAAGTCATGATTGTCACAGGTCAGCTATTGTGCATGTGATTTCCTATATCAGATTCTAAAGAATATACATGACTTTATGGCAACCTTAGTTGGTTTATATGTATAATGGTTAGATTATCATGTGTCTCATTTTCCAGAAATTGGTTCATCATTTACTCTGGTGTATCTTTCTTGTCATATAAAAAAAATTGTTACCTGCCTCTAACAAAAGGGTGTGATCCACCTTTTCTTTAGCTTGATTTCTTTCTTTGATTTGTCTGACTCTGATTGAGTTAAGGAGTTTGACATAGATGTCCCTTGATTATTTTTTAATTATATTTTTTGCTTCTTAAGGTGCTTTTTGGGCGTGGAGCTTCTGAAGTCGATTGCTGAAGGAAGTGAATCAATCCTCAAAAGCCTATGGCATCACTCGGATGCTATTATCTGCTGCTCTGCTAAGGTTTCAGCACTTTCTCACGTCAATCTCATATCACTCTTTTTCTTGTTGGGGACTCTTTATGCAGCCCTCTGATGCCGCCAAATTAGAAGGAACTTTTTTCTGATTTGTCAATTAGGGATTTTGACAGCTTTTTATTGTTTATTTTTGTTGCAAGTTTAGTTCTTCTGAGTACTGAATTCTTAAGTTCAATAATTATGCAGGCTATGCCAGTTTTCACGTTTGCAAATCAGGCTGGTCTTGACATGCTTGAGACAACCTTGGTCGCACTTCAAGATATTACATTGGAGAAAATATTCGATGATCATGGAAAGAAGAACCTCTGCACCGAGTTCCCACAGATAATGCAACAGGTTAGTATTCCTTTTATGAGGGAAAAAAATGCATGTTGCTAGGAAGTGATTGAATGGTCTTGTAGATGTGATTACAGTCTGCTTATTTTAAACATGTCAAACTGATCCAGTAACACCTGAAATAAACCCAATTCTTAAAAGGTCGGCAAAAATTCACAAGATAAAATATACGCACCCTAATAAATTATTTGAAAGGGAGCCTTGGGGTAACTGGTAAAGTTGCTGCCATGTGACCAGGAGGACAGGGGTTCAAGTCGTGGAAACAGCCTCTTGTAGAAATGTAGGGTAAGACTGCGTACAATAAACCCTTGTGGTCCGACCCTTCCCCAGACCTCACAGCTTAGTGTACCGGGCTGCCCTTTTACCCTAATAAAATAATTAGTGAAGGGGAACATTGGGGCAACAGTAGTAGTTGCTGCTGTGTGACGTCACGACTGCTAATCAAGACTCTTGAGTAGTCTATCTTTCTAAGAGGAAAAAGCGAGCAGTAGCTTCTTAATCATGTTGAACTTTCCTTGATTATCACGATCGCAGCAGTTCTAACTATATTGCCATTATTCATTGACAGGGTTTTGCATGTCTTCAAGGGGGCATCTGCTTGTCGAGCATGAGTAGACCTATTTCTTATGAGAGAGCAGTGGCGTGGAAAGTTATGAATGAAGAAGATAGTCCTCACTGCATCTGTTTCATGTTTGTGAACTGGTCGTTTGTCTAAGATACTTTTGTTAGATCTGTTTTTGAGGGATCAGTAAACTCAAACCTAAGAACCCTCAAATATCTCCCTAAGAACCATTTTGAACTAGTTTGGTTTGTGAGACTTGTTTATTATGCTTTCCTTGCTACTCAGGAAGTTTATGCTATGTCTTTGATGCCTTATGCTACTTGAAATCGTCACATATATCTAATAGGGAGTGTGGATATGGGATTATTTTGAATGTGACCTTCATATACTATTTGCATAGAAGGGCAGAGGAAGATAATCACAACTGGCTAATAGTCTCGGTATCACTAGGAGTAACAATTTAAAGGGTGGTTTTGAGGGGTTAAAGTTCGTATTGTTGTACATGATAAGCTGATTTAGCGTTAAAACTCTTTATGGGTTAAGACTGACAAAACCAGAGCTATTTGTTGAATTCTAATGGTAAATTTTTTAAGTAAATGACATGGTATGAACCATGTGTTTGAACTATCTTTCACTTCACTATAACAGAACCTCTCTAACTATCTTGGTCAGCTATTCTAACCACAGTGGTCTTGCCTTAGTCTTTTGCTAGGGTCATACTTGAATTTCTGTGGTTTCAGTCTTTTTTACCATTACTAGCGCGATGTAGTAGCTTCATTTTGTCCTTTCCTTTCAAAGAGCAAAAGAATATGCGAAAAATAGCCTTTCTTTTTTTATTAGATCTTTCACTTCACCATAATAGGAATATCACTAGTAACTTTCTCGATCAGTTACTCTAATTAACCACAGAGATCTCCTCTGCTTACGGTGATCTTTTGCTAGGATCATACTTGAATTTTCTTTGTTTTCGTTCATATTCAACTATTGGTGCCGAGGTAGCAGCCATCCTTTGTCCTTTAATTTCTTTTCGCTTAAATGAAACATGATTACAAAACAGTGGATGCAAGCTCATGAAAGACTGAAATAACAAAAATATATGTTGATGGCTTCCACTTTCTTGTACTGCACATGCACAAAAAGTAGGCAAACGGCGGAATGGTTTAATTAGAGTTCGAGTCGTAAAATCAGTCACTGATGTTTTGCACTTTTTTTTATTTTATTTTAGCGAAAAGGCGAATACATACACGTATTACTGTGTCAGCATTGATCTTTTCTTGTTTTCCTTGGCTAAATGAAAGCACGCTTCAAAAACAAACAATCAGATAAGACAATACAAAATAATTAAGTCTTGAGATCAATAGCAGTACAAGTTTAATTTTATTATAGCACAACTCCGGTGAGGGTGAATAAACAATAGATCAGTAACTTGCACGTACTTTAAAAAGCTAATAACATGATCAAGAAAAGGTTAAAAACTTGGGAAACAAACCTAAAAAACCTCACTTGGGTAATAATTAAGTGTTTCCTCCGAAGCTTAATTATCCATAATATTAGCTAACTTGCAATATTAAGATCATTCATATCTTTAGTAATTGCAGGAATACAACTATTTGTTCTTGTAATCCCACCCTTCTTATTTGGAAGAATTCTGTCCCTTGGACTAATAGATTTAGCCCTCATTATTCCCTTAGTGCTCTTCTTATACATCTCTCTCATTGCTTCAGCTTGATAAAGAACTGGATAAGCCCTACCAAATTTATTAAACTTACTACAAGCATTCATATGAATACTTAATGCTTCTTCATTCTTTCCTCCATTTTTTTGTGTTTCTTCTTTCACTGCATCAGCACAAAGTCCACATATCCACTTACCCGAATACATTTTTCGAACACGATTAATGTATTCAGAAGTGTATTCTTCACTCATTCCACAACACTCGCATTTTGCATTTTCTACGTCGGATATTAGAGGTAGATTTGACTCATCAACAGTTTCTTCTTTGTTCATCCAATCGAACGAGACGATATCGGACATTGTCCTGTTTAGGCTATCGTTTGAGAGACGTGGAGGTTTGTTTAGGTTTTTTGTTCGAATGATGTTGGAACTGGGAATAGTTTCTCCATGAGGTGCCATTTGAGAAATAAAATGTACTTTAATTTGGAAAGAATGCAAATTATATATGAAGATATCTAAGGATGGGAAAGTATGAAGATTGTAGGTTGCTATTTATAGTTGTTGGCTGCTGTTTGTTTTTTCAAGTTGGAAGCTGGAAAGTTACTAAGTTGTGGACCATGGGAACTTACATGTCACTTTTCATTTCTACTTTGCATGAATTGTCTTGAATTTACTAGATTTTTCATTGTGTAACTTCTCTATAGTTCACATTAGAAGGGTGAATAAGTAAATTCGTAACATGAAAAATAAGTCAAACAAGCTAATATAAATGTGAATTAAATTATACGGATAGTTTAATAAAATTTTAAAAATCAATCAATATTATTGCACATCGGGACATCTGTTAGGTGTTTGTCCAGATTTTCTTACCATAATTGGTTTTCCTATCTCATGAAGGAAAGGACCACCTATTTATCATAATTGGGTTTTTCTTTTCCTAGAAGGAAAATATAATTCTTCCATATTTGGCTAGTCCCTTTTCTTGTAGGAAAAGGTTTGGAGTTCTATAAATTGAAGATCCATCCTTCTCATTCAGTAGCATCCACAATGTAGCCATATGGGGTTTGAGAGTCGTGTTTAGAGGGAGAACTTTACGGGACAAGTGTTAGTGTGTCACTTATGTTTGCCTCTTCGTGAGGTTGTTCTCTCGATATTTTGTACTCTCTTTTATATAGTGGATTGCTCATCTCCGCCATGGATATAGGTCAGTTGACCGAACCACGTTATATATGTTTGTGTCTCTTTGGGTATATTTCTCTTTTGTTGTCAGACTTATCGTCTTTCAAATATTGCTTTGCTAGCTTCCGCATGACACCTTACTTTTTCGGTCCTAACAACATATACTAAGAAAGGTACGTGCATGATCTTATGCCACTCTTTGCTCTACTGGCTATTGCTGCGGGACATCAACCATTAATGCATCAATTTCACTGAGCTCAAATGTATATTAAAATTTTTTAGAAAGAAATGACGAATAGCAAATACTTATCCTCCTTCAGATGCGCATTAAAAGTTTTCAATGCACAAATATTACCAAGTTTACTAAATAGATACGTAATTATGTATCTTGTTTTACGCGACGTAGTTAATTTTTAACAAGTAAAACCGTTTCGGCGACTACACTAACTAAAACCTTATGAAGCTTAAATACTTTTATTATATATAACCAACAATGCAATACACCATCAGTGCAATTCTAACCTATAATATCAACTATCAAGTTGCATAGGTTACCAATTTATGTTTATTAAACAAAGTTAACTTTAATTACTTTATAAGTGATACCCTAGGGTATAAAAAGTAATTACATTTGATACTTAAACTCTATCTAAAATCAGTTGAAAAATTTGATAGTTCACCATCGCATTATGTTTCTTGTTAGTATTTACTCGAAATGGAAATACTATTTTGCAATGTTCGGTGTAGGAATTTTCTTTTAAATGAATACAGCATTAAGAAATAGATATAACATGACCGGAATTTATTTGGATTTTAAAATATAAATAGCATATTTTTACTACCTTCATTTTCTTTTTCTTTTCGATGGTTTTAAAATATACATGTATAACTACTTCCTTGGTTGAGGTACGTATATGATCAGTAGCCACTACAAAAAAGAGATCAACTTGCTTGACATCACAAGTTGGCCTCAATCGACCATTCAACTTAGTTTTAACCAACTTTTTTTGCTTTTATTTTCTTCCCAAAGAAGCCAAAGGCATACATTAGAAAGGATACGTATGCAAATATTAGACCATCAGTCTCCCTCTATTCACGTGAAACTGTAGTTATCATGTTATTGTTAGGCAGAGCTAGCATGCTGGATACGGCTCGACCGAATTAAATAGGTTTAGCCCGAATCATGTATTTGACTTATGAAAATAATTAAATAATGTATAAATTATGACTAATTTAGAACCCAATAACGTAAACAAACTACAATTCTGAATCCATAAACTTCAAATTATGGCTCCGGCATTGGTTATAACATACATATAACTTATCGTTGGTGTTCTTTAAGGTAGTAACTAAAAATGATGTAACAACGTCTCCATCAAATCACAGGTTTCTTGATATGTATATAAACAATAAAATTATTGCTGCATCGTAAATGATCAGAACCATTAGTTGCAATGAATGCATGTGAAAAAATGAAGCTTCTATATACTACAAGATGAGGCCTTCTTTGTGTGGCTGAAATATGATGCTGAAGTATACACTTAAAGTTTCTCTTGGCTGATGTCGGAAGTTTGAGAAATATCTTTCTTTTATATGATCGATCGTTTCCCTTCTCTTCATGTGGAGGTGTGTTATATCGAGGAAGAGGTAAACCCGAAAATAAAGAAAATAAAGAACACCAAATTTTAATGTGAAAAACCCTTCAATTCGAAGGTAAAAATCACGGGATCACAAAGATCCAAAGAGCTCCACTATAACAATAAGAGGGTTACAAAAGTTCTCTAAATTGGCTACACAACAAGTGCCAAATACGGAGCAACAATAGCAACAAGAGCAACAACTAATAAATTGAAGAAAGAGGAGAATTCATAAAAATGAAGTTGCTGTTCGAGGCTCGAAATCAGATGTTACCGGCCTCCAAATCCGATTTCCACCGCTCAAATCAAAGACCAAGATGTTACGAACACTCAGTCAAAATTTCAGCCCGATCCAACGGTTAACGAATCGAAAAATGAGATTTGAAGTTGGCTGGTCGGAATAAAAATCTGCAGCAAAACAAATACTTTTCTTCTCTCTTCTCTCTTGATGAAAGCTCTCTCAAAAACCACTCTTATGTGCTTAAGTCTTTCAAAGACTTGTATCAATGAGCATAGAATAATTTTCCAAGGTTGTCCTATTTATAAATAATGAGTGGTGCTTTCTCTTAAAGCCAAAACCCACTCAAAATAGGAATAAACACCGAATTCAATTCCGAATAGGAATAGAAATCAAAAGAGAATAGGATCAGGCCATTGGGCCTTTGGCTGGACAACATGGGCATGTGCCCAACAAACTCCCCCTCAAGCCAAGGGGCCAAATGTGTCTTCAGGTAGAGGAACTATTGACAGGGCTTCATGCCTGCCAATTTTCTGCCATATGCATGCTTATCTGCAAGCTTAACTACAAAGTTCTCAGGCTACTCCATATAAATATCCTCATCTAAATCACAATGAAGAAAAGCAGGCTTGACATCCATCTTCCCAACCTCTAAATTTAGACTTGCAGCTAAGCCTAGAACCACACGAATAGAAGACATCTTCACAACAGGGGAGAAAATTTCATCAAAGTCAACTCCCTTCTTCTGGCCAAAACCTTTAACAACTAACCTCGCTTTGTATCTAGGTGCAGAGGTATGTTTATCTTGCTTTATTTTGAATATCCATTTGTTAGATGAAGCTCTCTTACCTTTCGGCAATTTCACTAACTCATATGTGTCATTCTCATGGAGTGACTTCATCTCATCTTCCATGGCTTCTATCCACTGATCTTTTCGAGTATCTTGCATGGCTTCATCATAGCTCTCAGTTTCTCCCATGTCAGTCAAAAGTACATACTCATCAGGAGGATAGCGCATGGATTTTTTCTTCTCCCTTGTAGATCTTCTACGAGAGGTTTTAAGAGCATTCGAAATAGTTACCTGAGCAGGAATTGGTTGCTGATCAACCACAACTTCATCAACTGAAGCATCCATAACATCTACACCATGATGATCATTTTGATCTTGATCACTATCTCCATCATTGTCTTGTGTTCCTTCATGTGCAATAGTTGTCTTAGCAATAGAAACGGGATCACGATCAGCTAAGCTCTCATTATACTGAGAATCCATCTTCTCAGCTTTGTCAATATCTTCAATAGTCTGGTCTTCAAAGAATATTGCATCACGACTTCTAATAAGTTTGTCGTCAACTGGATCATAAAAATGATACCCGGATTCATCTTGACCATAACCGATAAAGATACACTGCTTAGTTTTGACATCCAGTTTCGATCTCTCATCTTTAGGAACATGCACACAAGCTTTACACCCAAATCATAAGAAACATCTTTGGCAAAGCAAACTCTGTCTGGGACATCACCATCCAAAGCAACAGCAGGAGGCAAATTGATAACATAGGCAACAGTGTTAAGTGCTTCCATCCAAAATATATTTGGAAGTTTAGCCTCCGAAAGCAGGCATCTAACTCTTTCAACTAGAGTTATATTCATTCTCTCTACCAAACCATTCAATTGAGGTGTCATGGGCGGAGTTTTCTGATGACGAATTCCTTGTTCCTTGCAATAGTTATCAAAGGGACCACAATATTCACCACCATTGTCAGTGCGAATACATTTTAATTTCTTCCCCGTCTGTCTTTCAGCTAAGGCCTGAAATTCCTTAAACACGCCAAGTGTTTTATCTTTAGATTTCAAAGGATACACCCAAAGCTTACGAGAATGATCATCAATGAAGGTGACAAAGTAAAGTGCACCACCTTTTGACTTTACTTTAAACACAAATCAGAGTGTACTAGCTCCAATAATTTCTTGAGGGAGGATGGCTATGAAAGGATACCTTTTTTTGTTTGCCAGCTAAACAATGGATACACCTTTTCAGCTTTGCTTGTTTCACTCCAAAAAGCAAACTTTTCTTAGCCAAACACGCAATCCCCCTCTCGCTCATATGACTCAATCTTCTATGCCACTATTCTGATAAATTGTCACTTTCCACCAGATTTATGGAGTCATTAAGAATAGAGCCCCGTGTCACATATAATTGACCAGACTTGACTCCTCGAGTCACTACTAACGAGCCTTTGGTGAGCTTCCATTGACCGTTAAAGAGGGCATTATGGTAACCTTCATTGTCTAATCTTCCTGCGGAGATCAAATTGAAAGGAAAGTCTGGAGCATGGTTGATATCTTGAAGAACTAACGTTGAACCATTATTAGTTTTCAAACAAACTGTGCCCAACACCAAACACCTTAACTTCACTGGCATTGCCCATCTTTAACACTCCAGAATCAACACGAGTATAA